GCCCAGGCGGGTCTCGAACCCGAGGGCTCAGGCAATCCACTCATCTCAGCCTCCCAAAGGTGCGGGATTACAGGCTGAGCCACCAAGCCCGGCTGTATCACATATTTTTTATATATTTATTAAATGTATTTATTGTTTACAACCGGGCTTATTTCAGGCTCAGTTGCATTTATTCTAAGTCCTGGACACTCGAACCTTTATCTAAGAAGCTTCTGAGATTACCTAAAAAAACATAAGTTCTTAATCATGGACACCTGTATCTTATTTATAGCAGCTTCGAATTCCTTGGGTAAATTATGTATACTCATTCATAGACTTCACATTTTAAAAGTATTTTCTCATATATTTATTTTAGTTGCACGTCATAACAAAGTCTGTTATCCCCAGTTTTATAAATGAGGAAACTTCAAGAAATAGAAATCACATAAGCAACCAAGGATGGAGAAAAACCCGAGACTCCTTCCTCTCACTTCAGGTCCCTCCACTGTTCTATCTAGACTGCCTCTTCTCTTGACTGATAGAAAGCAGGGGCATATATATAGGAGCAGACAGGTCCTGTGCAGTATGGAGTTGGCGGCTTCTTATGTTCTGCAGCCCAACTGGTAGAAGATATTTTTTGTGCAATATTATGTAGCATCATTTTTTAGGCATCTGTGCATTTTAAAGCATTTTTTTTCAAAATGTATATTTCAGAACTGTCCCCAAACTGGAAGCAGCAGGAGCAGTTGTCACTAGGGGGAGGCCACACTAATTGCAGAGACTTCTGATAATTCTTTAATAAAAATCTTTTTAGTATCATTGTATCACTTGTCATCCTTTTGTGTAGAATCTTTTCTTCTTTTTTTTTTTTTTGAGTTGGAGTCTCACTCTGTCTCCCAGACTGGAGTGCAGTGGCTGCTCCCGGCCACCACAACCTCGACCTGGTGGGCTCCGGTGATCCTTCCGCCTCAGCTTCCAAGTAGCCGGAATTACAGGCATGCACTACCACGCCCGGCTGATTTTTTTTATTTATTGTAGAGATGAGGTCTCGCTGCCCAGGCAGGTCTTGAACCCGCGGGCTCAGGCAATCCACTCACCTCAGCCTCCCAAAGGCGTGGGATTACAGGCTGAGCCACCGAGCTCGGCTAGAATCTTTTCTTCTATTTTTTCTGGTTTTATCCTCAGAATTGTAAAAATATAACTAATATATTTGAAGTACATATGCATTTTTCTTTTGCTTTTTCTGTTTTAAATAACAATATGATTGTGTTTCCAGTTCTATAAAAATATGGTATTTACTTTAAACTTCTTTCAGTGGAATAAAGTATGACAACATTTTTTCCTATTCTTTATTTCACACACACACAAAACCAATACTTAATTTAGGATTTCATTTCAAATTATTTCCCTAATTTAACGTAGGCCTACCTTTTAACATAATGCAGTGCTGTTCTAGTATTGTAGCTGGGAATCATCAGCCATAGGATGGTTTGAAAGAATGATAGTTTGGAGATGGCAAAAAATTTAAGTGCATATATCAACTCTGAAACTTACTTCTCAGATATGAGACTTTCCCCTAAAATTTAATCTCTCTAAACCTTACTTTCCTTGCCTACAAATGAGGTTGTTGATACTTTTCTGATTGTGAGGATTACTTCATGTAAACATAGCTATTAGTGCCTGGCTAGTCATGGGCTCACAAGTGTTTATTGAGTCTGAATCTGAATCTCTTCATTTCATAAGTTTATTGTAGTTTTGTTGAGGGTTCAGTTGTACAACAGGTCATAATTTGAGAGAATAAAAAATAAATGTCAACTATTTTTTTCTTAATGCTTCCGGGCTATTAACACGCATACTTTAGCCCCAAGGGACTATGATATGATACACTATTCAAATATATGAATAGATGACAGAGGATGATAACAATCTCTCCTGAATGCAGACTCCTGCTGCTGGCTGTGCTGCTTCCCTAAGCCTGCCCAAGCAGATGCAGGCTTTCCTTGCCAGCCCAAAGAAGAGCACTTTCCAGATTTAAGGATCTGTTGACTTTTGACATATACTCTTCATTTTGAATCTGCTGCTTCATTCCTGGGGATGCTTGTTTGTATTCTCTGTGTTAAATAAAGGGTTAAATAAAGAATAACAGTGGGCCTCACTTATTGCAAAGTCAGCATATTAATTTACAGTGACAAAGTACTGGAAACACCTCCTCAGTCACCACTGGTTCAATAGACTATGGCATAGCCGTGTAACAAAATACTGTGTGGCCATTGAAAAGAATGAACTCTACTGATACAGAGCACTTTGGGGGCTGCTGGCAAAGAAA